TTCGGCATCCTGTGATTTGTCTCCTCCTCTTCATTCCTGTGCTGCTAAGCCAAGCCGCAGTCCCTTGCACACCAGGAGTCCCCCAACTGGCTGCAATTGAACTTTGGTCCTTTTTACCTTTTGCGCTCATGCAGCACTTAGGTCAGACTAGGCTATGCTAGGCCAACCCAGCAGAGGACAGAGCAGGACAGGACCGACGCGTCGTCCTGTGTCCGCCTCCCTGTTGCGCGTCAAGTATTCGACAAAAGTAGGAAGTCACATTTACTAACTGATTTATGTGCGCTTCCGTTTTGCCAGGGTTTTATCTTTTAAGTTTTCGGCACAATCATTTCCACTCAAAATATTTTCCAAAATATCGTCCGAGACCAAAAAAAAAAAAAAGAAAAAAAAAAAAACACAACCTGAACTTCGCATAGTGGCTGCTGTGCGGTTATTCCTGCAAGCCATGGCCAGCAATGCTCGACAAGGACTCGTTAATCAATGACAGCACGTTTATCTTTAACGTCTGCCCATAAATTTCACACTGCAAAATTGCAAATCTTTGACAGACAACAAACACACAACACACACACTCACACAGACACACTCACACACACACACACCGTCGCACTCTCCACTCTGACAGACCAACAAAAAAATTTGTTAGTGTAAAAGGATTTTCAGCACAGTCAGCTATTTTGGCAGAGTTGGCATATTTAAAACGTGAGGCTACATTGCCGCAGACCCGTCAGTTAACTTAGTTAGGCTCAACAGTTTAGTGCTAGTGCTCGAAATGAATGTAAATTTAAAGTGAAGACATTTTTCAAATACTAAATTTTATAGTTGATCACGAAGTGAAGGACTTGTAGTTTTGTGTTATATTAAGGATAGAAACTTGAAGTTTGTCCCCCTCTTAGTACCTTCGTATTAGTGAATATTTTCCTGCTTTGTCTAGATAATATGTGAAATTAGAGAAATTACATGTAGTAAATAAGTTTATATGTAATCGATATTGGGGTTGAGTAAAATCGGAAAGGTGTATTCTAAAGTTTTAGAAAAAAAAACCTCTGAAGTCTTAAAAAATTTCGCATTTTTTGGAAGACTGTAAATTAAAAAATGAGCTTTATTTATTTCAGAAAACTTATAAGAGCGCTATTGTACACACGTAGGAATAGACCAAAAATTATAAAAAGGATCTACAACATCTACGTTTATATAAGGTTGGCAAAGATATAACAACTTGTATATTGTAAAAAACCTCACTTTCAACTTGCTAAGAGAGCATTAGATCTTCGTCAGTTAATTGTGAGCATTGTTCTTGACTAATATGATTAAAAACTAACTTGAATTTCAGTGTGCAGCACTCGAGAGCCGGTGCTCACATGGGTCACAAAGGCAGAGAGAAATTCATTTGCATTTGGCTAAATAATTAAGCAAACAAGTTTACCCCTCGGCTTGCTTTGAGTGCCCTCAGGCTAGGACTCAATTGAAGACGAGTGGCTACAGCTGGCAAAGCGAGCCGGAAGAGGTCCCAACTGCTGGAGAAGTTTTGTACTAGCTGCTGCTATTGCTTGAATTCAATTATCATATGATTTTCTTTTTGTTTTGATGTAGCAGAAAGTTTAAAAAAATATTGAAAGGATGTTTGCTTTTGGGATGAACACAAACAATATGTTTGAGACCGCAACAAATGAAGCTGTGCCCCATGTTTACCAGGCAATATTTTGATTTAATTTACTGTGAGCTAAGGTCGCCCGGGGCCACAGTGCGTATACGCAATGCCTTACAAAAGGACTTTACTCAATTGATTTGCTGCTTGCGTTGTCAGCCGGCTAATTAATATTAAATCCATTTGGTCGAACGGCATTGAAATGCCAAAAGCAAACAGTTTGAGTTAGTCCAGCCACGCCCCCGGCCCAAGCAGCACCCATCCGATAGGAGTTAAGGCCGAGCAGGGTTTGATTTGTTTCTGTTTCATGTCGCGTTTTATTCAATGTGTGTGTAATTATTTTACGGTTGTGTGCGCTCTGGACATGGTCATGCACATGGACAAGCCGATTGCGTGCCAAAGTATTTAAGCCCATTACGATGAGGACATGCCAGTGAGCGGCGCTGGCTGGATACGTACGTGCTCTGAATGTCGACCTAATGAGGAAGGCGTCGAAATGAATTTGTATTAAATGCATGTAGTCGGCACATAATTCATATAAATTGTATTTACTATTTAAATTTAAGTGTAATATACAGCTCTGACATGCACAGCCGCCAGCTCACTCCGCACCCACACACACCCACCCACACACAACATTCAATCGCACGCATATTACGCATACGTCGTGTGTGCTTGAAATCGCTTGCATGCGTAATTACAATTGATGCTGCTTGCTATGCGAATCACAGGCCGTGCGAAAACTAATTAAAATGTTTATCAACTATGTAATTATCACACCTTCGCCCACGTGACAGCCGAACAGCATCGATTGCATTAGATAGATGTCAGTTGTCAGTCAAAAGTCAATTGGCATAAATTTGTGATAGCTGTGATAATCAATACTGAAGTAATGGTGGAATATTATTTAAATATTGCATGAAATTGCAATTTTATCAATTTATAAAAATGCTGATTTCTTAAAATTAAATTCATTACAATAACACACTAATTAAGTCTAGGGGCGATCTTGTACATTTCAGGCCAAAGACAGCCGCGCAGTTGCCTCCACGCCTGCCCAAGCGCTCTGCTGCCAGATAGCTGTGATCCTTGCGCCTACTCAGGTGATCCTTTGAACGTGAAGGTGTCAGAATGATGTGCAGTACATCGCCCAGAAGGCCACTCTCATGGCTTAAGGGCGACGCCGCGTGCTCGCAGATCAATCGCAGCAGGCAGCTGTGCCCAGATAGGTTCATCTTCTCTAGAATCATCTCAATGCCATTGTATAATATCCAGCGATATATTGAGCCCAATTGGAAATCACTCCCATTGTTGCCTCTGTCCGTAATCGGCTGGGGCCTCAGATAGACGCTTGTAACCTCGGACGCATTGTTGGGCAGGAAGTATTGCATCCTCAGCGCGTAGCCAGAGATGACTGTCTCGAAGGGCAGATCCTCGACGGGAATGCCAATGGCACAGATAAACGTAACGGGTGTTGGCGCGATCTTTGGATAGATCATTGTACCACTGCCCACAGCAGCTAAAGATATGAACAAAAGTGTTTGGTGCATGGTGAAACCCATTGAAGATCACGTCAAGAACTGAACTGATGACCACATCACTTTAATACTTTTTATCTCAGATTCTGATCAGTAAAGTCATTTACACAAACTTCATCATATATTAGATACTAACAAGAGTCGGTTCCTAAAGTGTGAAACTTTTTATAGCTGATTTTGAGAAATTTGTGTTGTGATAAAAAAGAAATGAGATAAATGACTACACCAGACGTTAAAAATTACTGTTTGTTTATGGTAATGAGCCCACATGAACAGTTCTAAACTAATATTAACATAACATCCACCTCGCACAGCTGTTAAAAGTTTTCAATTTGAATTGTGTGCATTGTGTTTATGAGTTTCATTTCTTCAATATCTTCAACTTCTATCAGTATGTCATTCACATAAGTAGACATAAGTCTCGACCTGGAGAGAATAAATACTGATTACTCGGCAGAATTTGCAAGAGCCTTTCAGTTACTGTTTCTCAATCGTTCCTGTGTCTTCATTTGATGTATTAAATTCTAATGTCGTCGTGCCGTAGCACTTCAGCTTAATAGTTTTTGGCCAACATCAATATATATACTTGGCAGTCGGGCTCTACAAACCTTGATGCCTTGTTAGTTGGCACGCCTGTAGTGTGATTCCAGCCCTTGGAGGCAGTATAGTGAAACATAATTATAACAATGTACGAAATTGTGAAAATTGCAGGGTATTAAAGTCAAACTAAAAATTTTGTAGACAAAAGCATTTACACGTTCTTTATGGCGTTAAATTCAAGTCTCTTCCTCCACCGTTGAAGTGTCTATCATCGATAATGCTTTGAAAATTGCATAAGTACATATAAGTACATATCGATTTTGTACATATGTACATACATATGTGGAGAAGACTGTGTGATAGTATTTTAATAGTGGAGAAGACTTACATTACAGTTATTTGCGATTGCCAATCGTATCGCTTTCTAAACGATGTTCGTTAAAAGAACGTCAGACGAATAGTTCAACTCAAGGTGCTCAATAAAAAATAGAACCAAAAAGTGAGTATGATTTTTTGATTGATTTTCCAGGTATGATTTTCGTCGATTTTAATAGTATGTTAACATTAGCTCATGTTCCGACATTTAGCGTTATAGAATTTAAATTGTAGAAAATAAAATTTTACAAAATTTGCCATGGACGTATATCTACGTATCTCCGTAATATATTTTGAGCTGTGATATTTAAAAATATTCAAGTCTCTTCATTCATAAGGACTTATACTCTCATACTTTATTACCTTTTGGGAAAAAATAAATTAAAGTTCTACTGGGGGCCTGGCAAATCGGGAACAACTTTTCTTTGCATATCTTCACAGTTAGTAACTCAATATTGAAACTCAAATTAATAAATTCTATTTGACCTCATCTATTAAATGAGAAAAATAATGTTCTCATATATATAAATGTGTGTATATATATA